TCACCGGGCAACGGCGCCGCCAGGCCCCGGCATGTCCCGGCCTGCCCGGCCATGGCCGCGGCCCCGCCAGCCTCCCCGGCCGTCACCGCCTCCCAGTCCCTCCGTGACCATCCTCACGCAGGAGCCGTCCCGGGACACCCTGCCCTGCACCACCTCTCCCAACCTTCCTCCCTGCGCCTCCTCCAGAGGGTTCCCCTGGACAACCTCCTCCCCAGGCCTCCTTCCCTGGACAACCTACAACACCAGCCATCTTCCTCGGACACCCTCCTTCCCAAGGCTCCTTCCCTCTTCTGTCATACCCTGGGTCACTTTCTTACCTGGAAAACCTCTTTTCCCTGAATAACATCCCCTGGGCCATATCCTCCCTTGGCCATCTCTTCACCTGGGCCACGTCCTGTCCCTCTTCCTCCTGTAGGTCACCTCCCCTTGTCAGCTCCCCTGTCCTCCCTAGGCCACCTCTCCAGGACCTCCTCTTCCTCTCGCCTTCCTTCTGCCTATGTCCATCTCCCAGCTCCTCTTCCCACTGCTATTCCCAAGGATCTCACCTCCACCCACCATGCGCCAGGCTCTGCATGTGCCAGGAGCTTGCAAGGCTCTGGATTCATCCCGGGCTTCCCAGCTGCAGCTCCATGGAGCAAGTGAGAACAGCACTGCGCATTTCAAAACTCCCGAATCCAAGTTTTATTACTGTGTCAGAGAAGAGGAATCACTCACAATATATTGTTCAAAAGAAATACATTCAATAGCATTTACAATAGAATGACATTAAAATCCTCCGGAAGGAAAATAGAAAGACTAGGACATGGTGCTCAGATTAAGTGTTGCCACTAGATGACCTCTGGAAGATACAACAGTTTTTTTTTAAATTAATCTAAAAAATGTGGGATTTCTTTCCTGGGGGTGTTCCTAGCACTCCCCTGGGCTCTGCTACGCTGTGCAGTGTTTGTGATGGTGACTCTAGAAGGATGCATTTACTGGAGGTACTGAGGTTGCCAACCCCTCCTGAGCCACGTTTCACTCCGCTCCTTCCCTAACTGCAGGAACACACGTATCCCTGTGAAGGGACAGCCAGTGCAGGCATCTCCCACCTTTCCAAGCTCTTGGTTAATGCCTGTGTAGACAAAATAAACAGGGAAAATAAGGCATTTTGAAAAGCTAGGCTTCCAGAACATTTTATAAAACTGAACCAGACCTGGCCGGGATTCCAGGTGGAGAAGAACCTCCCCCATCTCTCCTGCTTGAGGGAGGAGGACTCTACACTTGATTTTTCTTGTCTTTCTAAACCAAATTAGAGTAGCATAGGGAAGGGTTAGTGCAGAGCATTTGCCGTTGCCCCAGTTGTGTGAATGGCGGTGTCCAAAGAAGAAGATCTAAATGCCCTGGAGACGGGACACTCGACGCTCTCCTGACAGGCTAGATCCCACCTGCTGAATGCCATTAGTGGAGCAATTTGGAAAACTTAAGCACTTCACTGGCTTTAATGAGCCATAGCCAAACCATGGGGACATGAAACCGTGACGGGGCCAGGCCTGGCTGCCTGCACCACCCGGCCCAGCACTGCAGGGAGCCAGCCCGGAGCGTCGGGCTCCTGAGCCTGGTGTCTACTGAGGGACCCGAATTCAAACTCCTAATTTCTAGGCAGAAATGATCTTTCTCGAGAGAACACCTTACGCAGATGTCTGCATCTGGCTCTGGCGCAAAATGTTACTTCTCTACTTAAGCAATTACTCAATCACCATTACTGCTACATCCCTACCTCCGGGACGAGCCTACGGAAATATAATATCGTACTCATACTACAAAAACTCAGACAGTTGTTTCTGTCTTCATTATTTTTTTCATCTACTATGTACCATATAAATTTAAGCAAAATAATTTTATATATATTTTTATATATATAAATTAGAAGCAAATAAATAAGATTAAAGGGTACATTGCAACCAGTGGGTATTGCCACTCCAATAGCCACTCACTACCGTTACATCGTAAAAGGTCTATATATACTGTACACATAGGTATGTTGTAAATAGCAGGTGCTGTAATGGAGGTGCTCTAAGAGAAGGTGGCCAAAAGGAGACTGATGGTTTAGGAATCTGATTGCATAAATGTCCCATGTGCAGCCTGGGTTTTCCAGTTACCATTGCCTCTAAGTTCATTATTGCTAATTATCTTCCAATGTGGATGTGACACTCCAGCTTCAAGTGGCCTCTGACCCACGGGAGGGGGCAGTCAGTATGATATGATGTGGATCCGGAGAAGAAGACATCAAAAATGAAATCCAGGGAGGCAAACACAAGTGTCCAGGTCTCCTTGATTC